TTCCTGGCTTTTGTTTTGTTAAGTTTACTTCCTATTAAAGCTAATGATAAAAGCAGCTGTGTGGACTCATAAGCACCTCTATCTATATCTCTCCACAAACTCATTACAAATATTTGTTTCATATAGTCTCATTGTCTAGGACAGATTTAATTTTACTCTATCTTTCACTAGGCATAAATAAAAACCTGTGATTCCAACCACTGCATTGCTTTCCTTTTTCTCTAACTACCATCTACTGGATGCAAACGCAATCCTGTAATTCCTACTATTCTGTTGTTTTCATTTTCTTTGCTTTTTTTGTTTAAATTTGTCCAACGTCAGGGGCTAGTCACTTGAAACAAAGATGATTTTTTTACTTTTAAGCATAATTATACAGGACAGAAATGGCTAGACAATTTATAATTGCCCTTTTTTTCTAACCTGTGATGATACACTGACAATTCGTAAGAAGCATGCATGCACCACAGATAAAATTTGTCAGATTTTAGGAAGGTGTTTAAAAATCAAGTGCAGTTCTAGTGGGTTATGCACAATCATTGTGCATCCATTCTCTGACAAACAGATGCTCATCTGTGCTGCTGTTTGACCATTTTAAGGTACTTGCTTACCTTTCTTCTCCCATAACTCTCTGCTCATCTGAAATATCCCTGGGACATTCAGAAGAAGTGCCCTATGGAACAATTGTGATTTTGGAGCCTACAGGGCATCAGATTAACCAGTTCTCCTGCCTTTCCTCATGGGGTACCATAATTAATCTGTTTTGTCAGTACTATTTTTGAACTGCTGTCAGGTGGCAGTAAGGATATATTGAGTGAGCTCATATTGGGTTCTGTGACCGTGCCTCTCATTAATACAAATAGGATATCTCTCATATATTTGAAGTCTTATGGATTGAGGGAAAAAAGTCAGCATCCTCCAGTGACTACAGTAACACCCACAACGATGGTGAGCAATACCAGGAGAATAAAATCAAGGGGCCCAGTTTCAGTGCAATGTACTGCATTCAGAGTCTTTCAGATTGCTCTTAGTAATTCATAC